CGAGCAGGGAGCCCGATGTGGGACTCGATCCCAGGACCCTGGGATCATGACCCGAGCCGAAGGCAGTCGCTTAACCAACTGAGCCACCCAGGCACCCTCATTTAGTTTTTTTCTAAAGAGACTTCCCTTCTGCATTTCTATCAAGACCGGCAGGATGCAAATGAAGTAGGCAAAAAGATTGCATTCAAGGACAAAACGTGACTTTCAGATGAAATGGACAGGCTTGTGTTCTGGGGAACGGGCAGTATTCTTGGGCGGTATTCTTACCAAGCGCCGCGGCAGTGCAATGAGCAATCATGAACCCAGAGTTCAGACCACCTTCAGCCACCAGGAAGGGAGGCAGCTCGCTGAGAGAGGGGTTACAGAGCCTTTCAATTCTTCTTTCACTAATTGAAGCAAGTTCATGGACTCCAATGGCCAAATAGTCTAGGGCCTAGAAAGAGTATCTCAATTCAGTTGGCTTAAATTGGAATATGCTTTCAGGGTCAGGAACAATTCTAAAAAGCTTACTTTGGCTGGGTATTCACCATGGAAGTTTCCTCCAGAAACAGTCTCTCCCCTGCTGGCAAAAACCATCTTGCAAAACAGGTTAAGGCTAATTTTTAACACTTGTAGCCCTTGTACAAATACGGGAGGAGGGAAGGAGAGTCTACAAATTGTTGACATAAAGGGACACAAAAACGGAAACAACAAAACAAATACCCAAAACCTTAAAGATGAATCATGTACACCTAATTGGGGGCCAAGGAAACATGGAACATGAAATTTTTTTTTTCTGAAATTAGAGTTTCTCAAACACCGTAACTATCATAGTCTAATGGTTAGTTAGTACTTTCCCTCAAAAAGTTTGTATCTGAAACTAAGAACAGAGACCAGGACACCAGTTCTATTTCTTCAGGGGGCAATGTGAGCTTGTGCTTGGTAGAAGAATTTGCTGAATGGAAGACTCTGCTGATGAGCAACCACCAAATTGTCTGGAACAATCAGTTCTGGGAAGATTTTCAAGCTCTCGACTCAGTGATCCTGCAGCAGCATCCATAGCAAATGGCAGCCAATAGGCTGTTGCAAACCCACCTAAGTAGGAGCATATTAATGCCCTCAAGGATCATTCCATTCTATCATGCACTTCACTTAGAACAACAGGCACCCAGACAAAGGCAGTAACAGACCCTTCTTAAAGATTCCAGAGAGCTGATTTATACCTACTGGACTAAAGAATATTTATTATTTATCAACTAGGAACTCACTCTATGTGAGAAAGGTTCTGACTTCCAAAGAGCTGGAGATGCATGTATTACATTAACTTCACCAAGTTGGGTGTTACCCTTTTCGGTACATATAACCATGAGCCTATTAGGCCCAGCCCTGGCTCTTCTCCACTAACCCACCCCCAATCGCAGGCCCTAGTTTTCTCTCCATTCTCTGAATCCTTATAACAAGTAATCTCTGCACCTACTTAGAACTTAAGCATGTTCAATTCTCCAGTTGTTCCAAATTTGTTTGTTGGCTATCAGATTATGGTAATTAGAATTTAGCTTCCATAACATTTAGCAACTGCGTAATAGGTACTTTATATCTACAATGGAAAAATTGAGAAGAATATTCTTTCAACTAACACCAGTATTGCAGGAGAACTCCCAAATATTACCTTATTGGAAATTCATCAATAATTAATCTTTAATTGAGAAAGGAAAGTACTTTTGGCTGAAATTTTTGCTGGGGCAAGTGGTGGGAGAAGAATTTAGTGAGGAATTATCCTTCTCCCATATCCACTAATTTAATGGACTTTTATTTTATATATATACTCTTGGTTTTTACTATATAAGATACCCTTTCAAGTCTAAATTATGGGGGCACCTGGGTGGCTCAGTTGGTTAAGCACCTGCCTTCAGCTCAGGTTGTGATCTCAGGGTTCTGGGATCAAGTCCTGTATCCCGCTTGCTGCTCAGTGGGGAGTCTGCTTCTCCCTCTCCCTCGGCCCCTCCCTCCTGCTCACGCTCTCTCACTCTCTCACACCCTCAGTCTCTCTCTCAAATAAAAAAAAAAGTCTAAATTATGTAAGTGTAGGATGGATATCTCTCCTCTACAAGAACTGATAGATGAGACAAGACTTACATAGACTCCATGAAAGCGCTACTCCATTGTGGGGTGGCGGGGGAGAGGGGTGGAGTGGTGTTAAGGTGAGTGAGTTGAGAATTACTTAGTGTGTGTCTGACTTAACTGTAAAATAACCTGAGAGTGAGGACATAAAACATACATCCTGAAGTAAGCTTGTCAGAGAAACCACACTGGATAAATCTTACACAGCTGCTGTGAAACCTGTCTGCTAACCTCAGCTAGGAATGGCTTCCAGGGTTGTTAACTCAGCACTTTCTCCGGTGTTAAGAACTGAGGCAGATGTGGGATAGGAAAAATATATTCCTAAGGGCTTGGGTGGTCTTCAAAGGCAGTACTGAGTATCTCTGTGAAGACTTTGCCAGTGTGACTCGTGACTGATCACATCGACATCTGTAGGGAACTATACCATCAAAGAACATTTCAAAGCAGAAATAAGATGGCTCTGCGATACCCACACCATGAAGGAAAGAAGGGCTCCATCTTTGAGAAATGGAAGCATTCTTACTATTCTTTGTAAAATTTGGAAACACTGACTGAAACACCATGTCAAAAATAAAAACTTGAGACGAGGAAAGCCATAACTCTTTGAGCAATACTTTGGTAAGTGTTAACAGGTTGCCTTCTGTTTAATGTGTCACTAGAACCAAGAAGGCTTGCATCAATGCCAACCTGCCAGGGGTCCCCACAGTCACACTTGTGACCTATGTCTTCATCCTCTATCAGCAATCTCAGCAGCAAACGTCTTCATGAACCCTGTTAGCCAATGCTGGAAATATGTCCTTTAGCCTTTAATGGGTCCATTTGGAAAGCACAACATGTTAGACTCTGAAGTGAAATTAGGTGGACAGACTGCCTCTGTCACTTACCAGCTCTGATCTAGAGAAAGTCACTTAACCTCTGAACCTTAGGTACTTAGTCGATGAAATGGAGTGACAGAACAGAGATGCTACACAGGATGATCACTCCAGCAGATCTAAAATTACCAGCTAGAATTCTACAATTACAGTTTAGTAAGCAGTCAAAAGATACAGGATTATCTGTTGCACTATTAAGTTCTGTGGTAATGATATTCTTCACAAACGCTATTGTGTCATTCACCACACCATGGACCTACAATACAAGATTAAATGAGTGAGTACATTGAAAACACTGATAATGGCGTCTGTCACACAGAGTCTGATATTCATATTAGAATAGCAAGGAAGCAAGTTTTAAAACTGGAATTTGGTTGTGCCATAGGGCTAATTTAGCAATTCTTTCCCATAAATGTTTTCGATCAACTAGCTAGAATGGAACTTGCTGAGTCAAAGGAAATGAGGGTGTTTACTCTAGGGAGGATTCTTGATGATTACACTCTAGACTAGAATCTGGCACAAAATGAAATATTGTTTCATTCTTGAGAAGTACATTAATCTCTCATCCAACTAATTGCCACACCCAAACGAGCTGTAACCTCTGCAATGCTGAATGCCTCATGCCAACTCCTGTCTGCTGTATTTATTTTATCCAGAGTTAAGCCTCACAGATTTATTTGTGATGGTTTATGTCTGCTTATTAAATGCAGATAAGGTACAACAATGATGTGCACTTGAATTATGATTTGCCTTTCCTGTGACCATCTCTGTCAGGCTGGTTCTTGTGGAATCTAAAAGAGAGAACCAGTAAAATTCCACTAACTGATTAGGATGATGTGATTACTAAGAATTTTTTAAAAGCTACAGCAGTAAACCAACACAGCAAGTTGTCTCTTGTGCTTCTGTACAAGAGAATTGAGCAAAGCAATTCAAAAAGAAACAAACAGCTTATCATGGAGAATAGAAACTCTACAATGACAGGACAAATGGAAGTATGATATGCATAATTTTTAAAAGAGGCAGTAAAGACATTTGGATTATAATTGACCATTACATGACTTTTAATTTTTTTATTTTTATTATTATTTTTACGTGACTGTTTAACACTTTCCTCTTTTTCTATTTCCGCCCTGAATTGGAAAATAAAAAGATTTTTTTCATTCGTTTACCTGTGGACAGCAGCGCAAGGTGTATGCATCCTGAACACGATCACAGAACCTGTGACTTTCTGTGCAAGGGGATGGCAAGGGACACGTGATCAATTTTTCCACAAAACACAACACCAAATGAGCTCACTCACATAAACATGCCCAGACCTGCTATTTCAGATGGGTGGTGATCTGAGTCCAAGAGTGACCGAAACCGAAAAGCAACTTCAATTTGCCCACGGTGAGGGCGGACTGCGTGAATGTCTAGAATTGATGAAGGAGAAGAAGTCTGAGCAATTCTCATATTAGAATGAACTACCACTGATGGTTCAGGATCATCCACGGTGCTGACACAAGCCCTCAAAAGTCCCAGAGGTTCTTACCAGCACTCAGAGTTAGAAACTTACTCCAAAAGCAAGATTTTCCTCATCAACCGCATTTTTTCTACTTTAAATATCCAAGTGCAAACTATGTGTTGAGCCCACTGGGAATTCAACTCAAGACCCTGGGTCTACCCTAAAAAGATTTAGGCTCACATAATGGAAGGGAGCTCCACAGTGGCCAATTTTTGACAGTTTTCAATCATTTTTAGACAGTTTTTCTGTCCCACTACATATAATGGTAGGGAGTCTTCAAATTCACCACTTTCCAAGTAAGCTACGACTTCTATAGTTTTTCCCTCCCAATTTTTTAATGGGGACCAACTTTAATCCCACTCTAGGTCTAAAACCCTGTGAGCAGATTCCTAAGACAGTTCACAGTTGGATGGGAGTCAGACCTGGGTGATCCAGAATTCTGGGTGAACTCTAGAGTCAGCATCTGTCCGTAAAATGTGGTCATTTCAAGACCAAGTGTGGCATCACTTAGAGGGAGCTGTAGCAATATTGTGTATTCCAGAGGCATTTGAGTATTTCCTTTTTCCCCTACCGTCCACCCCACCACTCTCATGTCTAAAGACCTGGACCAGTCCACCCAACCAGCTCTGGCTGACTCAATAGCAAGCCGGTGGAAGAGCCGTGCTGACCAGTATCGAAGGCTTTGGTGGTGCCCTTCAGCACCTCAAGGGTCAAGGCCGCCACGATGTCTGCCTGCCGCGAAATAGCACTCGCTCGCTCCACGGCTTCACAGCCGAGGGAGGTGATCATCTGTGTCCCATTGATGAGCGCCAGGCCCTTTGGGAAGGAAGAGGTAAGTCCTTTGCTGTATTTATTGTAATCCATGTACAAGCTGATTTCATACCTTTTGCTTCCATAAGAGAAGAGTTAACCAGGCAGCTGAATGATGTTTATATTTTCTTTTTTTTTTTTTTAAGATTTTATTTATTTATTTGAGACTAAACCTCCAGTTTTAAAATAAACAAGTCCTGGGGATAGAATATGCAACAGGGGGACTAGAGTTAATAAGACTGTATTGCATATTTGGAAGTTACTAAGAGAGTAGATCTTAAAAGTTCTCATCACAAGAAGAAAGAAATTATAACTATGTACAGATGTTAACTAGACTTAGTGTGGTGATCGTTTTGCAAAATACACAGATATCAAATCATTCTGTTGTACTCCTGAAACAAATATAATGTTATATGTCAGGTATATTTTAATTAATAAAAAAGGCTAACCCCTCACACACCTCTCTACCAGCACCAAAGTTGGCACATGAGGGGCTTCCCCTCAATGGGTGTAGGGCACAACTTAGGAATGACAGGTGTGAAGATCAAAGGGAAAAATTGTTCCGCAAGAGCAGAGCAATGGTTCCAAGGGAAATCAAGAAATTCTAGAGAACATGATATCCACAAATTACAACAAAAGGTCAAAGAACTTTAAAAAATATATTTAAAAAATAAGTCCGCCTATGAGGCATCTGACTCTGCTGGATAAATCTATGGTCAATGAAGCCAGAGGAAATAAGCAGTAAAGAGAACCCGTATCTCACCCAGGGTGATGGGGTAGGACAAACCACAGCGCTAGACAGACCCACAGACCTTTGAAGTAAAACCCTGGGGCTTTGTTTTGTGTTCAGGTCTGTTTAGTCATTGGGCCAGTTGGAGGTGGTGGAGATAGCATCACGGAAAGAGAACATGCTTTTGAACGAAAGAGAATATTGTTGGTGAAGGGGATCCATTAACCTTTCATCGCATTTTCTCCTCATGAATACCTGTCCCACACTCCATTTAAAGTCATTTCAGTTTCTAATCGCTAGATAGTCAATCTTTGGATGCAACATGGGACACTTAAGAGTTTATCAAATAGCGTTTTAGTTGCCTTGGAAGTTGCTTAAGTTCCTTTTTGTTCACGTCCAAGGAATAGACAGGAAACAAGAGAGTAAGACAATATTTCTTCAGTCCCCACTCCCACTTGGCTTTCCCATAATGACCCAAAACTAAGAAGTAAGCCAAGTGGCCAACTTACCTTCTGCTCTACAAGCAGCCTGTGAGCAGCCTCAATGTCTGGAGCCATGAAGCGATCTTTTATCCAGGGCCTACCGAGAAAGCACATCAAACTATCAGCCAAACATGAACTGCTGCCAGGGTTCACAGTTCTGAAATGATGTCACATCCAGGGACCTGTTGGACTTTACCTTACAACAGAGCGCACCAGGTCATAGACCTTCTCCAGAGGAGTGGTTGTTCTCAGGGGGCGTAGAAACTCTATGCCCTGGCAGGCTGCAAGAAGCTCGATGGCCAGCACTACGAGAAAGGTGGAGGGTACAGCTGTTTGAAGCTGATTTCATGCTGCGGGGATGTCACTCACATGGAAGTTGACAGCCAACTCTAGCCAACTCAGAGGTGGCCGGTTCTCTGTCTATTGGTAAAATGAAGCTGCCTTGGTATTTGGTTACCATTTAAAATTTGCTTTTCTACCCCCTTGGCTGTATCTTTAATGTTGAGAAGGGCAGTGCTATCCAGGTAAATGTCTTAGTTCTCTCCTTCTTCCTTCGTTTGATCAAGATCGATGGCATCTGTGTCCTATTTCTACCTTTGTGTAAATGTCCATTTGTTTTTAGTCTTGCTGTTTCCCTTTGGCCTGAAATACCTGGCACATAGACTTTCATCAAAGGACTGAGGAGTCAGTGAATGAGCAACTCTTCTGTTGAGCTGGATAATTCTATAATGTTCCTTTCAAGCCTTCAAACTCAGAGGCTCCCAAGCCCACTAAAACTGAAATTGTAGAAATGGGTATCTTGCCAACTTTAGGTTTCTTGATAAAACAGTCTTTACATGTTTTTTTCCCCCCTAGTTAAGAACTCTTATTAAATGTACCATACCTTGCTATCAACTTTGAATACTGAAATCTAAATTTCTGTACATTTGGATTCCATTATTTGCCAAGAAAATAATTTAGAAGCTTCAAGTTGATCAAACCATTTACGTGGTCAACTGAAATGGAGTATTAAAAACATTTGACTTCTGGGCGCCTGGGTGGCTCAGTCGGTTAAGCGACTGCCTTCGGCTCAGGTCATGATCCTGGAGTCCCGGGATCGAGTCCCGCGTCGGGCTCCCTGC